TTTTAGTGACTGATTGGCCAATTGGGAACAAGCATGCCAGTAAACAGGCAGTTGATCAATTTTTTATCAAATGAATGATCAACTTGAGGAAAGGAATTGGTGCAATATTTTTTCAACACTTCTATTGCATCGACAGTAAATTAGCCCAAAACATTAATATTTTTCTTGTTCGCCTTCACTCGGCTATACTAATCTGCATAAAATCAACATGAAGAAAGTTTTGCAAGTTTTTGCTGACATCAGTAATAAACACAAACTTTGCCAGTTGATACACCAGGCGGAAATCTTAGTTTAAGATAAAGAGCAGAGCCCAGCAATTACCTTTAAAACCAAACATAATAAAAGTAAAGAATTATTAGCTAACGTTTCGTTGTTTACAATAGAACATCTTCGTAGCAATCTAAATGAATTTACAGGGTGTGGTATGTACTATTTAAAGCACGCGTAGGAGTGTTTTATCAGATATAATATTGAGAAATTAATAGGCTTTCACGCGGATAAGAAAACCCCATGCAGAAGTATCTGATGATAGGATTTTCAAATCAGAAGCGGAGCCAGGAAGTTTGTGCATGTGTTTGTGAGCAAGTATACTATATAGACAAGGTCAAGACCTCTTTTAAGGATGTGTAACTGGAGGGGACATATTATCAAAACTCTTCACTAGAGTGGTAAATTTGTTCCTCGAGATTTGAACTGGCAGAGTTGATTTTATGTACCACATGATGAACTTTTTGAACACCTCGTGACCGATTCGAAACTTTCAACGGTATTCGTATTTACTTCGTTAGCAATTTGCGATGTTCTAGTGGAATTGGTGCTTTAATGATTGAGAAAATTATTTTTAGAGCTTTTAATAGTAATACTTTTGAGTTTTGACTGTGTTTCAAGAAGTAAACGCAGAGTCGATACCATTCATGAACTGACACAAAATACGCGAATATTCAGGTTGTTTGGCTATTTGTAGACATCGTTTTTTCACTTTGATACATAATTTTTGGGTGACCACCTACTGCATGCAGGTAGCTCTTAGGGATCTTATTGGGGGGGGGACAAAATTGCCGACTGGAAGGACCAGTAAGAGGGCTGGGGGGACATGTCCCCCAGTGCGGACATGTCCCCCAGTGCGGACATGTCCCCCCAGTTATATAAGTTAAAAGAGGCCCTCGACATAGTTGCATGAGATAAACCGTTCTTTTTTAGTGAAAGGCGACACTCCCATGTGCTCTGAGATACGTCTGTGAATGTGTCGGCGTGTTTGGCCAACATACAATGCGCTACATCATCGACACGTGAACGGATACACAACATGTGATCTCAGGGCAATGGGAATCCTGTCTTTAAATGGAGAGGAATTAAAAGGCGACAAGAGAGACGGAAAACAACACGGATGGAAATATGTGGATAAGCAGAAGCAAGAAATTTACTAAATTGTGAACGGATATGTAGACCATGATGTCCAATGAAAAGAAGGCAGAAGTAAACAATTTTCTTATAACATGTCTGGACCAAGTCTTTGGTGTTATAAATTCTGTCAAGGAATGTCTAAATGCAACTATCTATAAGTGCTTTGGAATAACCATTGGAAGAGTTGAAAAATATGAATGCACAAACACCCAGTCTCCGCTTCACATGGACAAACACCCAGTCTTCGCTTCTGATTTCAAAATCCTATCATCAGGCACTTCTGAGTGGGATTTTCTTATCCGCGAACGCCTATTTAACTTAAGTTGATAAGTATTAGATAATTGCATTGAGACATTTCTTGACAGGATTTATTAACACCAAAGACAAGGTTCATACATGTTCCAAGTAAATTGTTTACTTCTGCCTTCCTTTCACTGGACATCATGGTCTACATATCCGTTCACAACTTAGTAAAGTTCTTGCTTCTGCTTATCCACATATTCCCACATGGCCAGAAATGAGGGACAGTCAGCGAAATGTATTGCGGGCGCAAAAATTCGCTAAATTCTGCAGCGTCAGCATATTACAGCGAGACATTAAAGGCGTCTAAAGCGAACTTCGGAACTAATTTTATATCAGTTAAAAACTGTGGCAACTATTTCCTTATTTATAATTTTTTAATGAATTGAACACAATAGTTTCTAAGTCCAAAACTGCAAAAGTACACCAAAATATAGTGAATTTCACGGGATTTAAATTTGACTTTGGCGCGATTTTTTCACTATTTTGGGGTCCCCTGTCCTTTATAAACAACAATCAGCGATTGTACGTGCAAATATTTTCAAAATGGTTGACAAGAACCCACGACGAAGCTTTTAAAAAGTTCATAGTTTTGGGATTTCGCAGTGCTTTGTTCAAAACACTTGATATTAGCTTACAGTTCTCATGAAATACACGCTATTTTAAATGCGTTTGGCGGAGCACGTACAAGCTAAGATGAATCTAAATCAACACAAAAGGAGATATCAACTCTCGTACAAGAAATGTAGACGTAAACAAGTCGTCTTCGAACTCTTAGAGCAACACTACACTGGCCTCAACTTGGTAAACAATGGGGATTTTACTGTACTTAATAGGAGTTTGCATTGCGAGATTATACTGTAAATCGAGTTACTCTGGCCGAATAACGGCAAATCCTGACACGTCAGGAGTTTCGGGGAATACTCATCGAGGTATTTTCTACATTTCTAGATGAAAACACTTGGAAAATTATCTTTTGTTTCAGCATGGGCATCGCATTTGTATGATTATAGTATTAATTCTTAGCATTTCCGCCATCTTGAATTCGCAAAATTGGTCAGTTGTGCGCATAGTTAGCAGCCATACCACAGAGTAGAGACATACAGAGAAGTAACTGGTGTACCCATTTTTTTTGTGCGCATGCTCGGCAAGTTACTAGATGCATGCATCTGATTGGATGACGACCTGATGACGACTCACTTTAAACTTGCTGAGCACGCGCAGTTGATCATTTTTCGCCCGGTCGCCTGAAAAAAAGTGGGTACATGATAACGTAATCTTCCGCAGTGTTTACAACGGTCAGTTACGTCTCTGTATGTCTCTACTCTGTGGCCATACTGTCCCAAATTTTTGGCCATAGTACGTGTTGTTTTCCGTCCCTCTTGTCTCCGCTTTTGATTCAAAAATCTTATCATCTGCCACTTCTGAGTTGGATCTGCTCATCCGTGAAATCCTGTTAATTTCTCATCTTAACCTTGTCCTTAATGCTAATACTAGATCTACCCCTCTCGAGTCATTTTAGTTATGTAATATTAACCTTAGCTATACCCATGCACTTAACATTAATCTTTGACATATAGAATTTAAATGGAAAGTTCAAACATTGTTTTAACCAGACACTTATCTGCTTGGTAACCGAATGCAACAGCACGCCAACGCAAAGGCAACTATACAAAGGTTTAACCTTTGGAAATTTACGAGCTGCATCCAAGTAATCAAGATTGTACTACATGGTTAATTAAACGATTTTAGATTGTTTTTGGTTGTAATATAACAACTGAATAAAAATAAAGATTGTACCGAAGAAACGATAAGAAAAGAAACTTCACAAAAAAATTACGCATGCATTTGTGCCAGGGCTCAGTCTTTTCAAGTACATGCATGGACGTGACTAATAATTTTCGAGTTTGTAATATTATCACAGAATACGCGTGTATTAAAAGTAATAAGCACAAGCGACTACAAACACAACCTCGTACCCACGGCTTCTGCGCTTATTGCTCTCAGAAGCCCTGGGATAATCCAAACCGAACACCATAGAACAGTGGTGCCCCCGGAAGCGGAAGTAAACAGTAGCTCCAGCTAAAAACGCTGACTGGGCATGTTTTTACGCAAGGAGTGAGAATGGATTATTTGTTGCAATTTATGATATATTTGGACTTGTAAAGACGTCTTAAACTGCTTCTCGCGTGGCTTTTGGAATTTAAAGTCAGGAATGATCAATTTAGAGATACAATTATGCGTAAAATTAGCCCTTTGGCGAGCAAAAGAACATCTTATATCGCGACAACAGCATACCTTGTCAGCGATATACAGGGGCTATTCAATAATTAAAGTATAAATATTTATATTCGAGTACAACCGTGGTCATTTCAAAATTAACAGACTAGAAATCTTACTGGTAACATGGCTGGCTGCCGATTATCTTGGATTTGAGGGTTTTGAACAAGATATTGCAAGATTTAATTATAAATGCACAAGATATACTGTACTGTAAACATGCATCTACTTGAAGAATGTAAAATGAACAGTGATGAGTGATGTAATATAATTCTGTACTTTAATATTTGGAAAACCTTTTTGGCAAATCTTGAGAATAATGGCTTTGGGAATCAATGTTGAAAATTAAAAACTGTCAGATAGCTGCATGGACAGCATAGTTAGAAGCATACATGTCAATAAAATGATGTCATTGGATGAAACTCCAACTTTTGTTAATTGCTGATGTTCTAGTATTGGAATGAACAGTGTTATAAGAACCAATGGTGCTGAACTAATTTGGGTTTATCATAAAATATTGTTTATCATTTAGTTCTGGCCATTAACCTTACCTATTAAGTTATACATTGTGTCTTACTTTTTATTTTACTCTGGTGTGCACCCCCCCCCCCCATGCTCTAGTCAACAGGGGTGCATGGGGGAGGGGTGCAAAAATGACGTTTATCCTAATTCTAACCAACTTATGTTAAGGAATTCAGTTGCGTATCACTAGTTGACAATAGTGGAATAGCCAATATTAAATATTCTGAATTTTTAAATGTTTTGAGAATCTAAAAATTTTCCAGAATGTTTTCTCGGAATGCTGGAAATGCCATTTCAGAGACCCAAATTTTAAAAATTTTACCACCCTAGAAATCTCGCGCCTTCGGCGCTCGTTTCGCCATTGGTTAGCACCCCCCCCCCCAAAAAAAAACAAACTTTGCTGGATCCACCACTGTAGCTCTGCCAAATTTTTTTCCACTTCCCCCACTATTTCCATCAAAATCCGGCCTTGCTCCTCACTGCTAATGCAATGCATGTTTAATGTTAAGATTGCTTATAAAATAACGGAGCGACGTGCTGGCGACGTAGCCACGTGCTATGCAGACCCTACGTTAGCGGAGAAGGAACTTGGATGGAAAACAGAAAGAAGCTTAGATGAAATGTGTAAGTCTTTGTGAGAACGTATATTTTCTGTTGCCAGTTTGCATTGCCTGATAGCGGGAAAGCGTTAGCCTAGATTGATTATCTATATAGTACATGCAGTCTGTACCAGCATACTGTAGGTAGTAATAACACCAGCGGGATGTAACTACTTGAAAAATACAAGCGTTGAAAAATACAAATATTACGCGTTGCATCGAGGCTGAAAAAGATGTTACCTAAAAGAAGGCGGAAATATGGTGATCATGAAAATATCTAAGAATTCTCGGAACTTAAAGATTTCAACAATCAAGGCAGAATGCGAACGAAATAAACATCAGAACGAACACGCCCAGAGGGAAGTTTGGACTTTGCGTACAAAATGAAGACATCAAGTTGGACGTAGAAGATAATGCATGCAAAAAAGATAAAAAAATAAGATAAAAACAAACGAAGACATTAGCACGGTGGAAGCCAAGCATATTCTGTTTCACAAAGTCAAAGCTGAGCGGTGAAAAGTATGTGTATTCTTTTGAACATGCAGTAGAGTTGCGCATTCTTAAAAGGTAAGTATTATCGCTTAGATTCTTGTTTATCAAAGGAAGAGGCTAGTGGAGAACTAGATGCACGATTTGCACATGTAGAATAACAAGTAGTTCTAGACAGTATTAAAATGCTGTTGTTAGGGTTTGTAATCCAAGTTAGTATATATACATGTACATTTTAAGACCTGACCAGGAACGACTGCGAAAAATGCAGCACAAGGTCCTCTGGTAGGAATTGAACCTACGGCCCTGCGATTCCGGTGCAGCGCTCTAACCAACTGAGCTACAGAGGCCAGCTGTTGAGCTCAATGAGCTGTAACCGTAAGTTCATGCACAGTACATGAACTTACGGTTGCACCGGAATCGCAGGGCCGTAGGTTCAATTCCTACCAGAGGACCTTGTGCTGTATTTTTCGCAGTCGTTCCTGGTCAGGTCTTAAAATGTATATATACTCACTTGGATTGCAAACCCTAACAACAGCATTCTAATATTAATACCACCAAGTGAAGTGCAAGAAACCAGATCATTGAAGTTCTAGACAGTCTCGGTCAAATGACAATGAGAGTTGGTAGCCGCACATTGCTACAGGGGACATTTCATGTTCTAGATTAAGAGGCAATTTTTTTCAATGTCTCGTATTTGCAATGAAAAGTGTTCAAAACCTAAAATCTTTTTGGCGTTCCTCTCAAAATTACTTTGTTTTAGCTTTATTCTCTAGTTTATAGAGTTAGCTACCTTTTTAAATGCATCTGCCGGTTGAGAAACATAAAATAATAGTTAAAAAGGTATCAATTAAAATACAATTATCAATGCTGCTTTAAAATTGACGCCACATTTACAGCCATATAAGCAAAACTTACTGAACTTCAGACATCATTTTCTCTTTGGCGTATCATCTAAAATCTCTTCATTTTAGCAATATTTTACAGATAAAGCACTAAACATACTTTTTAAGTTTGTTTGCCGATTGAGAAACGTATCGAAGAATAGAAATTTTGAATTTAGTCATAACCTCAAGTGATATATTATACACATTAGTTTTGAGTGCGTGTTACGTAGCTTTAACTTAAGTAGAGCGGTACATATAGTAGTATTGGGAAAGCATTAAGAACAGCTAACCAAGGTCGCGTGAATGTCAACTCTCATGCACTCTCATCCTCGCTTGACATGTAATCTAATAAGACGGTAGTACAGGCAAGCTGGTAATTTCTGATCGTGCAATAACCACTACGTGGCATTAGATGCCTGAACAAAAATATATTACACTGCATGTGTAATGGGCAGTACGGATCATGTAAATTATTAGAAATCCTTGTTTGTGTTTTTTCAACAGGCGAAGATTCATGGAGATGGCAGGTCCAGAATCCTAACGGTTTCCAGGAAACGCAACAAAACCACGTGACAACATAGATTTCAAAATATTTCCTGCAATAAAGGGGCAGTATCACACTATTTTGGCAATATTTTTATACTTGCAACCAAGTCTTTGGCAAAGAGCCAAAACCTGGCTTTTCAGGTGATCCTTGCTGATTCTCGACTTGCAATCAATCCCTTGAGAACAGGCAATTCCAGCTTTTAGTTTATGCCTGCAGGGGATGATGGGAAGTAATGTATCATATTGCTGATTATGCTGAAAATTTCCAATAAAAACTACCGAAACCACAGAAATATTTCAATATTTACAAGTATAAGCTATCACTCCGTGTTTACACGGCCACCATTTTTATTTTTTCAGCATAATCAACAATGTGATACAGGGGCGGCGGAACAGGGGGGGCTAGGGGGGCTAAAGCCCCCCCCCCCAGAAGTAAAAATGGGGGGGGCTTAGCCCCCCAGAAAATTTGAATTTTTTGGAAAAATTTTGATAATTAGGGAAAAATTTAGGTTATTTTTTGAAAATTTAGGTATAAGGGGACAAATTTGCAATATTTTGTTTAAAAAAAGTGTATTTCCGAAAAAAAATTTTGATATAAGTCCGAAAAATTTTTTTTCGTCCCTTTTTTGTATATTGTACCCCTAAAGTGGTACACTGACCGAAATTTTTTTGGCGACGGGGGGGGGAGGTCGCCGAAAAAATTTAGCCCCCCCAGAACGAAATCTGTTCCGCCGCCGCTGATGTGATACCTTACTTCCCATCGTCCCCTGCACGCATAAACTAAAAGCTGGAATTGCCTATTACAAAACAATGGAATGGCGGCCATGTTGGTGCCAAATTCAAAAGAGGTTAATGATATTCTTTTGTTGAAAGGGCACGAACATGGCCATCGCCCTCATCATTGCAAGTCAAGAATAACGACTTCACTATAAAATAACACAGCCTCAAGTTCGTATCAAGATTGAAATTATGCCATACATTGGCACATAACTACAGTCGAACCCCTATAAGCGGACACCTCTCTTAAGCGGACACCTCTTTTAAGCGGACACATATCTCAGGTCCCATTTGGTTTCTTTAATAAAAGACTATTATCATAACCCCTATTAAGCGGACACCCCTCTTTAAGCCTGCCGCACACGAGAGCTATCTGCTGAGCAAAAAGTTACTCGTGCCTGTTAGCTCAGCTGATAGCTCACCGATCAAACATGTTTGATACGTGAGAAAAGGTTGCATGAGGCAAAAAACTCAGTAAAATGTACCCGCACACGGTGAGCTATCGGCTGAGCTAACAGGCACGAGTAACTTTTTGCTGAGCAGATAGCTCTCGTGTGCGGCAGGCTTTAACGGACGCGGACACCTTTCTGGAGGTCCCAATGGGCAAATCAACCTCTCTTAAGCGGACAGATGACAGATTGTCTGATAAAATGTGTTCAATATTCGACAGTAAATAACAATTGAGATCAATTTACATGGCACATTGACACACCAACTTGGCGCGAAGACATCAGAGCCAAGATTATTGAGGAAGTGACGAATGAGGACGGAGGACAGTGAGCCGCCAGCCATGATGATACTCAAATTACACACCTAATTACACACCTTTGCCTCCTGCTGTGTTTTTCTACATACCCCTTTTAAGCGGACACCCCTTTTAGGCGGACACTTAGGCGAGGTCCCGAAGGTGTCCGCTTAATAGGGGTTCGACTGTATTACATTACGCCATACATTGGCACATAACACCTTATTTTCATAAAAATGTGAATAATAATTAATTTATTGTAGACATCATAATATATTGGGCTATTCTGTTTAATACATGTAATCTTAGAAACTTGGAATTCTTCACGATATTGGCTAAACGGCAGTTGATAAAAGGAGAATAGTGCGAATAGTCGCCAATAATCTACGAATATTTCGAAAAAGTTTTTTTTTTAATTTCCTATTGTCTTTTATTAAATTAATTAAAGGGAAATAGCAATATAATTTTTTATTTTCTCATTTGAAAGAACTTTTGAAACTACATATCAACTTCTTTTCATATCTTGCTTAGTTCTTGAAATATTTTCACTTGAAGTAATGAGATGTCCGCCATCTTGGATAAATGTTTCATCTCATTAACGGTAGTTTTGGTGACGTCACAACAGAGATTAACCATATAAAAGTATTCGTTGCTGACCAAATATTGATTCGTAGATGTTTTAAAGGTTTTGAGTGATCGAAGGGCAGACTGAGTATATACAGGGTGTATAAAAAAAACTGAACAGATTTGAAATTGCTCTCAATTTCGCAAAACACCTATTTGTATCCGTTTTTTATATATATAGCTTCTTTGGGTACTTATAATGTAAAATAATGAAAAAAATTTCTCGAACTCAAATTTTGTGAACCAGGGGGGTGTGTCTTTTCCAACAAATTAAAAATGGCTCGCGCACACAATTTAAAAGCTGTAATCATATTTTGAGTTAATAGATGGAAAATTTGTCGGGCTTTTTATTACTGTACAAAATTTCAGACAATTTGGTTTAGTTTAAGCCCTTTAAGAGCGTGTGTCTCTAAAAACCGCCCATTGACTTGGGGCTCGAAAAATTAATTTCTTCGAAATTTTTACCGTGAACTACATTTACTTTAACAACAAGCAAATACTACGTGGAATTTTGAAAATATATTTAGTTTCAAAGTTTTAGCGATTTTTTGGTCTCGCACCGTCGCGGGAGAAATTCGCCGGCTAATTAAACGAAAAAATGGGCTGAATTTAAATAAACATAATTTCAAAAGTTTTTGTTCAAAATTTCTCATATTCACACCCAGCACCAGAAAACTATCGTAATTTCATCTAAACTAACTTAGGTTTTCAATTGCGGAGCATTTGTGACAATATTTAGCGACAAATAACGCCATGTCAAAATACGGCTTTCAAATACTACTATTTTCTACGCTGAATTTCTTAAAAGTGGGACCTAATTACATACAGTGACTAGTTTAACTGGAAAAAGGACACTTTGAAGTACTAGAACCCGTAATAAAACTCGTCTGCAAACGCGATTTGAACAATTGAGAGTGTTTGAAATTTGATACTCTTTATGGCCTTTTGTTTACATTAGAATATTGCTGAGGTCAGACGTCTGAGTTCGTGTCACTGCTAAAAATGCGCTGTAGTTCTGCCAAATAACCTTTCCTTCAAATAAGTTTATAGCAATATAGTACTAATCTATATTTCTTTGTTTATGTCCACCGTAAATGGTTCCAAGGGATTTAAAATAATAGGCATGTTAAAATAAACAACTTGACCAAATTAATATGCTACTCGGGGAAAAGCCCGCATGCAGCGCGAATTCTATATGTGGCACACGCTATATTTAGTGTGATTTAGAGTTTGCGTTGCAGCATACTAAACTATTGCTTAGTTTGAAAAGTCTATAAATGTGCGAAGTTTAGTTCTGGAACCTTTCTGCGAAGTTGATCTTTGAATTATATTGCTGTAAAATTTGAGAGTTAGTATGGATAATCTGTGTTCTTTTAATGCTATCGATTCAACTGTATGCGGACGGTGTCGGGGTGAATCGAACATTCAAAACCTTCTTTCAAGTTGCCGTTTGTCGAAATCTGGTTTTAGCGAGCGCGAGCTGATTTTGAGAAGAGCGGAATTTTTATATGAAATATCAACGGAAGAAATACGCTCTATGACACTTTTTTTATTTATTTTTTTTTTATTAGTCTTTAATGAAACAGAAGATAAAAATACATATCTTAAGTTACAATTCATATTACAGTATATGCATTATTTACACTTTGCTAAAAAGAAACTTACAATGTTTAATCATATTGTAGTTCATACTATATACATTACTCATTCGTTCATACTGTGTGTCTTGCTATAGAGATAACTTGCAATGTTTAATCAATAACTAAGTCATAATTGTATACCAAACGGTTTACAAACACGTTTTTAAAACG